TTCGTCACATGTGTGAGAGTGTGCGAGTGTGTGACTGTGGTGGACGGAGGTGTGGCAAGGAGCGAGTGAGTGGTTGCGGTTGGCTGGAGCTGCTTCTTAATCCTGGCAGCGCCAACCGCTTAATTATTCATTGAAGCCAATGCATTGGAATGCCGAAAGCCGCAGGCTTATAAATAGCATGCGAACAGCGGAACCTCACAATTCTGCGGCCACCTCACTCAACATTAATCAGTTTACGGTCGCAGTCAAATTGATTCAAATAATACCAAGTCGTTGCCACTCTCAAGGGAATTACTATTTTATATTTCAAGGCATTACTTTTTTAAGAACTCCTACAAATACTGGTTGTATCTGAAGTGATATCTATAAGATCTCTCAGCTCAAGTATGCAAAATAAAATCTCTAGCAAAATTAAGAAAGTCTCAAGAATGAAGTAGTTCATATATGTACATGTTAAAATTCTTTACTTAATATTAAGTATATTTTTGTATCCCGTAATTAAAAGTCGAGTTAGATAATGCTGTCATTATAGTAATATTTTTCCGTTCTTTTCCACAGAGTTTCCGTAACGTTTCTGATTTTTCTGCATGCCTGTTTGGCAAAGATTTCACACCCATCAAACACACATGAATGCAGGCATTGTGGGTGCCTTCTGTGCGTGGTAGAACCTCCCTTTTTGAGCCCGAACTGCACTCCTTTTTCCTAGTTTTATTTTTCCGTCTGCTCCCTTTTTGTTTTCTTTTTTTTTTTTTGAGCATTTAGCAGCATGGGGGCTGCTTTTGGCTGCGTTTTGTGTACCAAATGACCGAGTTCTTTGTTATAGTTACTACTCCTGATTCTGCTTCTTTTGCTGCCGGTTGTAAATGCATTGTATGAATGTGTTTTTCCCATTCGCAATTTCATGCGGCCGCATTTATGAGTTTGCATGTCGTGTTCCCCCAAAAAAAGGACCACCCCGAGAGGACCATCATCGTGGTGTGCAACTGCCAACACTTTCAATTGTTTTCAACACTAAAAAATTCTCGACAATAAGCCCCAAGAGAAGTCGCCTCCCTCTGTGGGCGTATGTGGTGGGTTTTCTTCATTCTAAATTGTGTTTTTCCTGCGGCAAATAGTTCGTGGAAAGCGAAATTTATTCCTGTGCTTTACCATTCGGCAGGTTCTTAATTACTCGAGGCATAAAAAGTGTAGCATGAAAAATGTAAAAATGCGCGTGACTCGTGTTAAATTATAACCGAAAATAGTTAAAATTGTTAGAAAATTGCTTGGGGTAAATATAATTGGGATTTAAGCAAAAATATGTGTACAAGGTATTTGAATTTAAAATATAAAATATATTTAGAAATTCATAACTTTTAGAAACGCTTTAAAACCGAAATCTTCTCACAGAAATACAACTGGAAGCCTTCAAGGACAAAGTCCTCATTTGCATTCAACATAAAAGACAATTAGAGATTGAAAGATCCAAGTAGAGATTCATTCCGTAATCAAATGAAACATTTGCGAAATTATTTTCCAGTCTACCTCGCACTCGCACCATAAACATAAAGAAAATCCATTTGTATGCAAAATAGAATCCGCCTTCGACTAAAACCGAGACACTGACTCTGGGACTCAACTATTTGGCACTGACTCGCATTTACATGCTAAATAGCCTCCTCAAAGGACTCTCGCCAATCCTCCGTCCTCACATGCCAGTGCCCGATTTCGGAATCGGACTACGACTGTGACTTGTCTCCGTGTAATTGAAACGTTAAATAATAAAGCCGCCTGTGGAGTGCACGAGATTCAATCAGGCCAAGACGAAGACAATTAGGGGCCAGGATTTGCCTCTCAAAGGGACAAACTTAACGCATTCCGTGGCGTCAGAGGATCTTTTCACCTACAAAGACTTTCAAATAATCAAATTCAAGCAATTTGCGGAGACACAGGAGCAAACAAAAAGGGAAACAGGACAGAATCAAGCAAATAAGTGTAATCAGGATAAGGAAGGAGACTAAAAATACTTGGTAATTAAATATAATAATGCAGTTTAATATTTGTAAGCTATGCAGAGATACTTTGAACTGAGAAAAATAAGTTTGGAACTCAATTGAGATACATTGACAAGATATACCTGATTTGTAAAATAACTTATACGACTTTTTTTCTTTTATATCGAAGTGATAAATTTCCAAAATACTTAATTAGACACTAAAGATCCTTTTCAATTTCGATCTACTTCTTTTCGTGCAAAAATGCAGGGTATATGAACAACTTGAAACAAAGCAAGTTTCAGTAAAAAGTTGACGCAATCAGTAACAGTATTTCTATCTCTCCTTATCGTCCAATGTCCTATCACTTTTTTTTCTTCTCTTGTGTTGCCTTTTCGAGGAAAAGGAAGCAAAATTAGTTGGCTGCAACCTGCAAAAGAAAAGTTTTACGCTTAAGTAAAAGTGCAAATGCTTGCCATTCTTTTTCCGCCCATCTACGACCCCACTGTCGGCTGTCGTCTTTCTCTTTCTATTTGGATTGGGCCATCTCTTTCGCCATTCATGGTCTGTTTCTGTATGTCTCGCTCTCTTATAGCTTTGCCTTTGGTGTTTCCGACGCCTTTCTTCGCGCAAATTGCGCACAAATTAGTTCAAGTTGAGGCGCATTTCAGCGTTATGACTGTCAATGAGCCGATGCCAGTGGGTACACAGCGAGAAAATACAGGGGAATGAAAAAATTAGGGATGTATATAAATTAAATTAAGAGTGAAGAAAGGTTTCTGCAATGGAATATATATAAAAGAAAGTCTTTGTTGCTCTACAATTAGAAATAAATACTTTTTCTAAGGATCAAGTTAGCCGTTCATACCCTGAAAATGTGATTATTTTTAGCAGTGTAGAATAGTAGAAGGTATGAGGCTCTCCGATAGAAAGAGGGTTAGAAAAAGAGGAACTCCTGGCTGCTGGCTCAACTTCAAATTGCCAGCGGGACTTGTGCAGCAAAAATACACACACACAAAGAAGGAAAAACTGGAAAACCCTTGAGCTAGGGTTACGATGGAATTGGGAAGATGTGACGGAAAAGTAGGGAAAGAGCTAAAGGATTCGGGCCAGGGAAAATAGGGAAACGGGGGTATATATGGCTCCTCAACCGATTTGCTTGCTTGCTGGGGCATTGTGTGCCCCAGTCAGCAGTTTTTGTTTGGGCTAATGATGCGGAGGATGATGTCGATGTTATTGGTATTTTCTATTGATGCCTCACGGGCCAGGATCTGTGGTCCTGTTCCCTTCCTGTTCCTGTTCCAGTTCACGTCCATGTTCCCGTTCCTCCTCCTTGGTCCTAGCCTTGTGCTCCTTCTTGTTGCTCCACTTGTTTCTATTGTTTTCGTTGTTTGCCAATGTTGTGTGCGTATCAAAGGAAATGCTGTTGATGCAGGCTCTGCGAGGACTTAACTAGGCATTTGGCGAACAACATCTCGGGGTTTATTAGATGGAGTCGGGGAGAGTCCTTATGGGGCAGGGAAAAAGTTCTCCTAATTTGCACTCCTCTTGAGACCAGTTAAGTCAGAAGTTTGACTAGCCACGTGCCACACTTTGTATTTATACTCGTTCGTATTTATATTAAATCGAAAATTAAGTGGAAAGAAGTTAGGGGTTCATAAAGTTCTGATCCTAATATAATAGAATATTTTTATTGTATGTATTTAGAAATATATTAAAATTTCTCATTTAATTTAGTTAACTATTCTTAAAAAATCAAATCCTAATACTTTTGTACTTAATTGTTTTTTCAACTACATGTATAAATAATAAAAAAAAAATAAAATTTTCCCTTATCCTGTTTAATCCTTATTAACATTTGCAACAGACCTCTGTTAAATCTCTGCTAATGTATAATTTTCCCAGTATTTTTGCTAACATTATGTTGCCAGAGCAGTTTTCTGGAAGTTCCAGCTTTTAACTTCCCTAACAGACACATGTAAAATGTGAAAACGGAATTGAAACAAACAAAATACGAAGCGGAAACGAGCTCTCTCGGGGAAAAACGAGGTGCTACTTTCGGTACACTCTCTCTACCACTCTCTCTCTCTCTCTGCCTCTCATTTTCTGTAGTGCTTTCTCTCTCTTCTCTCTTAGCCATGAGTTTTCGCAGACCTCAGACAATGCGAACCAGTTTGTGCGTTTCGCTTGAAACTTTTCGTATTTTCGTCGCTTTTCATCCTAATATCCGGCCATCGTGTCCTGTTCGTGGACTCCTTCGTGTGTTCGGGTGTGCGTGTGCTATGTCGCGTGTTGTGTGTGTGTGTGGTTTTGGGCGCCAAGTAAAAACCAGGTAATAAGGAGAGCAAAGCTTTTAGTCTTGGTCGGTTATTGGTGCTGAGTGGTTGGCGAAGGCGACACAAGTCCGTGCGAAATTCTCGATTCTCGATTCTCGCTTCTCGATTCTCGTCATCGATTCTCGATTTGCTCCACTGCCGAGTGCGAGTCCTGGAAATCGCGATAAAACCGAGGACATTCGTGCGGACGCGTAAGTCCGTGTGCCTCGTGTGCCCAGTGACTGTCCCTCTGTGTGTGTGTGGTGTGTTTTCATTTGGGGGAGTGGAGCAGTGAAAAGGCGAATTTGAATAAAATGTAACGAAAAACAAGGCAGATAGATATATACAGAGAGAGAGAGGATGAGAAAAACAAACAAAAACTGCAATTGACTAAAAAACAAGGAAAAAACTAATCTAAACCCCTCCTGCCGGCTGGCTTGATGTTTCCAAATTCATTTTCGCCAGCCAGCGACTAACTGACTTTTCCCCTCGCATTTCTAGTTGGTTTTGACAAATTAAAATGCATAAATTATGAATGAAAGTACCGTTACGTGCGTGACAACCAATCATTTGTTATTATTATGCACGTGGGCCAGCCAGCAAACAAAAACAGTGTGTGAGCTCCAGCAGGCAAAAAAGTTAACTTGGCTAAAACCCCCCCAAAAAACCGGCACACACAACAAAAGTCTTCTTTAAAGTAAAAAAGAGCGGCAGCAGAAACAGAAAGGAAAACGTAATCGTCAGCGGCACAAATAGCAGCAATAAGTGAGTATTATGCGACATACAATTTTCCTCATATTTTCTAGGGATTTTCCAGCATTCATAGGGACAAGCATAGCACACACACCCATAGAAATTGTAACTTAAAGTTTTATTAACTTGGCGCGGACCTTGGGGCCAGTTCAATTTGTGCACACGCCTCAGGTGTCAACATAAATTATTATAATTATGAAATTCTATAGCCGGATACGGGCATACAGCAATATACTATAAACAATGGACACCTAAGGACAAGATAATAGAGTCTAAACAGAAGTTATTGTCATCCTGTAAGTCGGTTGGTAACATAATTGCCTTGAAAGTTTGGTTGTTTTTCGAGGTGTTGAATTTTAAAGTTAATATTTAAGAAAGAAGAAGCCGCAATGAAAATTTAAATATTTATTTTTTATAAATTTATATTCCTTTGAAGCCGCGAAATAATATAAATATTAATATATGGTATTTATAAATTGCATTTAATTATTAAACATCCATGAAAAATCTATCTTCTTATCCAAGACTCATATAACTTTCCTCAATTTTGTATAATTTTATACAATGTATATCTCCGATATTCCCTATATATTTTATTAACCCCGATTGTTTTAGTACCGCGATTTTCCGCTTTATATATTATATATATGACATTCCCGCACAATGCCAATTAATTTGAGCCGCTGAGCTGGGACATTCTGTGGCCGGGCTTTGAGTTATGGCCTTTCATTAGTCTCATTTAGTTCAAGGCAAGCCAAGGGAAAAACTTTGTGGAAAGTGAGCAGAAGCTCCTACCAGCAGATCGTTAAATCCCTAAACTCTTGGAAAGGTCAGCTCCATGGCTGGCTGGCCTTTATGACCTTATCAATTGACACTTAAAACTCAAACACCAAGATAAATAAAGGGACTCCCTCTCGAATTATTTGGAAAGGAAAACATATTTTCGAGTTTCCGGGGGCAACAATTTTGTAATTTATGTCATTGGTTCTCGTTTAATGGTTGCGGTTATGGGAATAATTGTAAATTTTATTTATTAGCATTATATACCAAATATGGGGCATAATTTTGGGTTTATTTACAAGGTTGTTTTGAAAATTTGTATTTTATTATGTTTATAATTGATAAGCAATTGTTGAGATTATTTAAATTTAAATGAGAGAATTTTTCAAATTTATTTGATATTGATAATACTTTAAAAAAAGTATTATATCTTATATTTTGGAATATGGTTAATTACATTATGTTTTACCCAAACTTATTTAACAAAATTTGGTAAAACTCAATTTATTTATGTTGCTCAGACTTTGTAATTGTTTTGAATTATGCTGTTCAATAATTTAACATTTTTATGTCAACTAAAAGAACAGGAATCCTTATTAAATCATATATTCCTCTGCTTAATTAATTACACTGCTTAGTAGAAGGTTTTTCATGTTAATTTTTAAGGATTACACGTTTTTTTTTTCATAAAAAATGTCTTTGCTACATTTATTTCTAGTCAAAAAATTTAAAATATATAATTTTCCCCATTTTACCGTAGTAGCGATGCCACCAGTTTTACAGCTTAAATTTTAAAGCCTTATTTTGCTCTGAAGGGCTGTTCAAGGCCCACTCACACACAAGCAGGATTCCCACAATGGCTAACACACACACACACACGCAAAGGGCAATGCGAGTCATTCAGTCAGTGAGGCATTTCTCATATGGCCATTCAGTCAATTCTTCATTCGGCATTCAGAGAGTCCCACATACAAGGCGCTTAAGCTTCAATGTTTAGACCGTCCCCTTTACGGCCCCAGAAAAGTGTACATATGTTGTGTTTGTGCCATTGAACATGGCCTTATAGGAAAATCTCTTTAAAGCAGAAAACTCAAAACATTTTTCGGGTGGAGGAAGGTCCAATTTAAGGAGCGAAAAAATCTCAAGGCAACAGCGACTCGGAGAGAGATTTGCGAGTGGCCAAAAGTGTATGTGAGTGACCTGCGGTGTCTAGCTCGCTTTTGACCTTGTTCTCCGAATATTTGCATATTTAACTAGCGAGTGCCAGAGCCATGCTTGCCACATAATTAATTATGCAAAAGACTCGGGTCCTGGAGCCAACAACATCAAGTATACGCAGCGTGTGTGTTCAGGGTCCAAGACTGGAACAGAACTCAACTATTTTGCATAAGCCACTCTCACCGTTCGACATGTGTGCGTGTCTCTGGAAATAGATGACAACAAGGTGCTAAAATTATTCATGGCCTCTAATTACAAAACATGATTTTGTGAAAACTTGTGTGCCCAAAAGGCAGTCCACAGATTTTCCAGCTACCACCCCTTGAGTGTTTTGCCGCTTTCCGGGAGGAGTTTTTGGGTTTTAATTGATTTTATGCAAATTTAATTTCGCCTGCCCGAGAACAATTACACAATCGCAGACTGTACAATGTTATTGTTAATTTATGCCTTTGCCCAATGATTTTTGAGTTGAGAACCTTGGGCCTTGTCCTTTAGGGCTTTCTATTCGGAGAGCATTTAATACGCATTAAATGTTATTGGCCATAAATTGCATGATTAATTCATTTGGCTTATTGTTTCGGTGATTTTGTGAGCCAGATTTGACAACGAAGCGAGTGTCTTGGCTGCCTTGAAGCTACCAATTTGGGCTAGCTTGGGGAGTTTAAAGTGCATATTTGAAATAGTCAATGTAATATTTATTACAGTTCAGAGGGTAGAATTGACTCAGTGTTGGGCAAGTGACTTGAATATTGAATATTTTTGCGTTAAGATTAAATTATTAACTCACTAAATGAACTCCTATTCTATATGCTACTCATACAACCTTAATTTTTAAACTATAAGTTAAAACAGCTATAAACAAACGTCTAGACTTACCTTAAATCAAATCCAAAAAGGGTATCCGTTTCATTGGTAACTAAAGATACTGATTATAAATTCCTGGGCCACCATAAATATTTAATATGTCAGTCCCCAGAAAAGGTAATCAGGTAAACAGACACATATAAGTGTGCATTAAAATAGCTTTGCCCCATAAATAAATGACTGACAGATATCTAAAAATACATACTGGACAAAAACATTTGCCAGGTAAAAATAGAAGACACTGGGAAATGACAAATGACTTACTCACTCCTTGATAAATATTTTTTCAATTGCGCAAATCATAAATTTTGATAAGGAATTAAATAGTCGTAAGCTAATATTAGCAAACAAAACTTTAACCAAGATAAATATTCAATCTTCTGGTATTTTCTTTCATTTATAGGAAAACTTTTGCTGATGTTTCAATTAAATACAGTGCGTGAAGAGACGGGAAAACAGGAGAAACCGGAAACTAAACTAAAATAGAAATAAAAGAAGGCGAACACGAGGAGGCAAATACAAATAGACAGCCAGGATATAACATGTAAATGCGACAGTGCCTATGTGGGCGAACGCTTAATAGGAAAAGCAAATAGCAACGAGCTCGTGGAAAATAAATATAAATAAACCAGCAGCAACAAAACAGGCAAGAAAAGGAAAAGCGACAAGAAAAGCAATTGGTTGACGCTTTCCCTCGTTGCGGTCAAGGGAAATTTATTGCATTGCACAAATGAGACAAGAGGAAAACGCAAACGAAGCAAAAGCAAACATAGAAGCTCGCACGCGGACATGGACATGAAAAATAACCAAAAATTCCTCAACAAATTGAAAAATTAAAGTTTCATCCCGAAAAAGTTGCGGCGAACGAGAAATAGTGAAAAAAAACATGGATCCTGCAATATACAGAAAATATAACATTGGCCATGGCATCCTCGCCTGGTTGATTTTCCAACTTTGCTACGGTAAGAGAGAAGAGTCGAAAAGTTTTTAATCAACCCCAAAAATATAACTTTCTATGTTTCTAAATATAATTCATATGGCATATGTTTCCTCTCCAAGATAACTCATTTAAAATTCATTCAATAATCGATGGAGCAAATCCTTGCTAGGCTCTCTGTCAAGTTGATAAAGTCGGGCGCAATGTCAAGGCTCAAGTCAGCTCCTTTCACCCTTTTTCGGCAGAAAATCCTTTCTGCACCCCCCAAGACTCTTTGGCGAGGCATTAATAAACAACAAGTTTGCCACTGCCTTCGCTGTCTGTTATTTATTTTTAATTAAGTTCAACAAACTGCTGAGCTAAAACTAAACAAAATTAACTGGCAAACAAGCGAAAGTCGCGGCTAACCACAAGCAGGGAGAATTTGGAGAAGACTTTTGGTTTCTCAGAGATGATGGAGATGTCGAATGAGGTTGAAAATATATATTTACTATAGGTTATTTTCATTTATATATAAATTCGGTTTAGTTTTCCTTTTTTGTTTTTATTAGTTTGCTAATTGTTCTCTTTCGCTTAGTTGAGCAAATTACATAAGCACACACAATTCAATTCAATTTATTATCACTAATTATAAATGCAAGCCTTGGATGTATAATCCTCCCACTGAACTTTTGATGGATTAAAACTATTAATTGTTTTATTTTAGCGAGAAAAAAGAATTCAGTATCCGTTCGAATGATTGTCGATTTTCACAGCTAATGAAATTTATGCTCGACCGAGCCATAAATTCAATTCATTAGCGAAATCATCATTAATATATTTTATTAATATTAATTTTTGTTTCTGTTTGTGTGCGGGGAAAACCTTCAACTTAATTAGCTTGATTGCCGAGAGGCAACACTTGAATGGGGAAAAAAAAAAACATGGGAAAACTAGAAAGCGCACCAGCGAAAGTTTCCTGATGCCGCATTTAATTAAATAAATAAACATGCTCAAGTTTTTTTGCCATTTCCGTTTCCGTTTCCTTTTGCGGCAGAGTTGTCAAAGCAAAAAAGTTTCTGTGGCAGATCTCTGTGCTCACTATTTAACTTGGCTTTCCCTTCCTGTGACAGAGAGCGAAATAATAATGACTGACAAATACAATTTCTGTCTAGACAAACGGGGGAACAAAAATGATTATTATTTGCTGGCACTTAGCCGTCCCAGGGTTTGAGGTTTTGCTCTCTCTCTATGGCTCTAGGACTGTGCCTGAATTATAGATAGAAATCTTATTTTCCTATTATGAGGTCACGTACGCGTACGCATGCCGCACAGCGTTGAACTGGGGGAATTCTGGCTGCCCCAAAACAGAAAAAAAGCGAGCAACAAATAATGAAATTAAGTTAACGTGGCGCACACTTCTGGCCAAATTGTAAGTAACAAAGAGCGGTCAGCGTTTGTCCGAGGGAAGTACACATTTATTGGCAGCACATGAAACTAATGTTGAGCGACACGCACTCACTCCTTCCTCCTGGAATCCTTCGAATATATCCCCCCTTATTCAGTTAATGAAAGTTCCTTGCCAGACGCCAAGCACTCGAAGCCACATCTCGGAGTGGAGAGTTTATTAAAGATTTCCCTTGGTTTGCTTAGGCATCATAAATACCTACAAGTATTATTAAGTGCCTTTTCTGGCGATTAGTCTGGGTTAAAGTGTTCTTGAGGAGCCATTGAAGGGTACAAGTTAGGAAGGTGCCAACAGATTGTGGGCTCTTTCGATGGCTTAAAGGCCAATGGTTTGAATAGTAAATAGTTGAATGGATGGCTTGTAGCCATGAATCTTATTAGGCTGAAGTTTTGTGAATAATTCAATAGGGAGTCTACTTATCTAAATTTGAATTTTAATGTGAATTATCAGTATGTATAAAATATAGCAATGCAAATATTACATCAACTTAGCTATAACCTTTGCTATTTAACCCTGACAAACCGCCATGTGATTAATCATAAATTGGTTAAAATTTACGTTTTCCATTTAATTGAATTAATTGACTCCGCAGAAGGGGATATAATTGGGAAGCCATAAAGCTTAGAAATGTCTGCAAGTCGAATGGAATCATAATTATATTATTACAGCTGCTCGTGTGTGTAAGGGGAATTTAATTGATATTCTAATTAAAGAAAATAAAGTGCATTATGCCAGTCGCTTTGAAAGACAAATTTCCTCTGCAATGACTGATGGCCAGATTAATTTCACCCATTCGTCATTTTGAGCTTGATGTTTCACACAATTTTGGTAATTATCGGGAATAATAGAAACCTTGTTTAAAATTTCGACAACCGTTGTTATTTCAATGACAGAATATTTTCGAAGGATTAAATTCCAAAGCCCCTGCTCATTTTGCTCTTTTCGCTGTATAAACAAAAGAAAGTGTAAATATTGTTGCGAATTCCCTCGAGTCAAGTCGATATAATAAAATTTTGACTTTCCGCGCCCTGCGATTAACCATCTAACAGGAAACCAGCTCAATGGGATCCGATCGATCCTTTTTCTTTTTGGTGCCACTCTCATCTCTTCTTATACTTTATGCCATATTTTTTTTTTTCCTCCCATTTTCCTTTCTTTTTTTTGCGAAATATGCAAATGAAAGTGCGCCTGCAATGCAGCAAAAACTGAACTGAACTGAGCTGAGCTGACAACTGGGAGCTGTTGGCTTTGATGGTGGCAGGGGGAATAGTAGGGATGCAGCAAGGATAACAGGGAGTGGAACGAGGAGTGGCAGACGTGCTCCTGTTTTGTGGCTGCAATGACAACGACCAGGACAACGATGATGCACTCGTTTCCAAAGGCACCAAGAGACGGGACAAACGCATCAAAGATTTTGCATACTCTTAAAAAAATATACATAATTAAAAGACATCTGGGAGTATCAATCCTAGTTTATTAAAGCCTCTTGATTCTCTTGATATATTAATTAAGCAAAAATATATAATCACTGTTGTCTTCATAAGAATTTTGAAAAATGAAAGGAAAATTTGTAATATTCTAAAGATTTGTATGAAATCATTGTGAAGAATGGTAAAGGATACTCTCCTAGGGTATCTCAGCTCAGACTGCAACTGAAATAAAGATGGGGGACAGGACTCTAAACTGGACCGAGAGGGACAACGACGACGACAACGAGGACGAGAGGCATATGGACCGTGGAGGCAACCGAGAAGGAGGAGGACCAACTTCCGCCTCTGATTGCAGATTAAGCACGTTCTGGGCAACTGCCATTGGATGTCGATGTGACACGGACTGGAAAGAGGGGTTCGACTGCCGGGGGCTGCGATTGATGCGTATTGATGCTGCTGGCGTCTGCGAAACATGGAAAAAACATCTTTATTTGCTCAAGGCTTCGCATCCGGTTGAGAATGACCTCTCTTGGTCCCTGTATGCCCTGAAAGCCCATGAGTAAGCCCTCCAACTGAGCCGCATCATAATTTCCTTGTCTCGTCTGCGATGTCTGGAAAAATTTGCATTGTAAGTGAAGTGAAGCCTTGGTCGGGCCATAAATTCTTGGCTGCCAACTCAACCCATTTTTCCGAAGACAATAACAGTAACAGCCCCCCTTTTGTGTGGAGCGTTTTTCCCAATGAGTTTTCAATGGACTCTAATAAAATTAATTGCATTTTGCATTTGCCTGTCGAGAGACTATATAGAGAAAAACGGAGGCGGAGAATCCGAGCTGAGCTCATGTGACAGTCAGATTTGGATTCGAAATTGCAATTGCTTTGCCGAGAGTTTTACCAGGAATATAAGGGGGACAGGGAAGGTTGTTTTTGGGATTGAGGAACTCTGTTTGCATTGTGTAACTAATCCGGCGGCCTACCAAAGGGGTTTTTGTCCTAAATGGTTTCTATACTATATGGGCTTTCCAATGGTTTTCCTTTAAAACTAATTTAATCCTTTGACGGTATTTCAAAATGCCTATAAAATAATGTAATAAATCAATAAACAAAATAGTTTCCATAAACCTGGCTAGTAAGCTTATTTCAGAAATAAAATTACCTAGAACCTCTGAATAAACCAAAACTCAATAATCGATTGATTTCTAGACGCTTCTTAGAATCAAGATTCCGCGTATCCTTCCAGATTCATTAGTTGCTAGGAAGACCACCTTGTGGTATATTACTTAGCCGACTTTGGCCATTGCTCACCCCATTAAAAAGCCATAATGATATGCAAAGCTAAACTTTTGCTCGGTAAACTTCTGCATTTGACACCCAAGCAGGTCGCCCTTTATTCGAATTAGATTTCGAGCACAACTAAACCCCCAAAAAGAAAATCATTTCGGGGTGGAATGGGAATGCAAAGGAAAAAGGGGGGCGGCAGCCAACTTTTGTCTGCGGTTGACATTTGTTGCCCTCGGGCGGCAAATGAAATCATTTAAAAATCAACAATAATTAAGTAGCAAACTTTTGTCAGTGGCGGCGGCGGTGAAGATGGAAGGCAGTTCTTCCAAGGTAAAATGGTGGAACCCTAGCCACTCTGAGTGATCCCCTTTCGACCATAACTACGACGTTTACACGACATCAAATGGAAAACTTTGCGGCTCCGCCAGCAGCACAATTTCCTCTTCTGGATTCTGGCAAGGCTCTTCTTAATTAAGCCCAGGTTAGATGACAAAACTTTCCAATTTCTGGCTTATTAATTACCTCAGGGTTCGGGCCACAACTACAGGTAGCTCCATTGCGCACTTGGCATTTGTCAAAAAATAACTCCAACTCAGCTGTCAGTCTTTCCATTAGGAATTCCATGATGTAGGATAAATTATAACGAAATTCTTAAGAAAGCAGTGAACCCTAAAGTATTTGTACTTGGGAAATCTTGAAAATAAATATAGAATGAGTATAAGCCTTGATTTGTATATTTATAAAAATGTATAACTTATTTAAAGCTATTTCATTTTTCATAAAGTATTATTAAGTAGGTTTTATTTATAATTTCTTTAAGATCTCTCGGTTTAATATTAAAACCCTCACAAATAACTCTTGCTGAATGCCTCATCATATTCAAAATATTCGTTTAAAAACCCCAACAATTTCCGAAATTGCAAATCTTTGATGTTACTTTATGACTTCAAACTTCTTAGGCATTTTCCATTTTCCCCGAGGTTGTTGTCTCAGCGGTTCCTTAAAAATTCTCTTACTCGTAGACGAGGAGTTTTCCGCTACCAGAGAGCCTTTGTTCGGTGGAAAACCTTTTGCCAAACGCACTTTGTTTGTCTTCCGCCAACGAGGCAGTCAGGCTCACCTCTACACAAACTATTCGAGAGTGCAAAATGCTAAATTATACTTAAGCCGCAAAAACACACACAAACCCATACACACATTCATACAAAATACGAGTATATTTCCACAAAGTGTCCGCCAAAGCGGAGCCACGCACCGGCCGGAAAAAAAACGAACGAATAAAAAGGAACTCAAACGACGCCGCCGCCGCAAAGCGGAAATGCACTCAAAGGAGCAAAGCCCATGGTGGGCGTGGTGCCGCGCCCACTTCCTCCAGGACGAGACTAAGCCACCGCCCCCTCCCTCCGCGGCCACCATCAACATCAACATCGTCATCGGCTTCAATGGCGGCGGCTCTTCTTTTGCCAGCCTTTGTGCATTGTGCTCTCCATTTGCTTGTTGGCTGGTTTGTTTGTCGCTTCGTTGGCCGACTGGTTGAACGACCACAAAAAGCAGGAAACCAAGTTTAATGGCAGAAGTCGAAACATTGAATACCCTGTAGAGAGGGACAGTCTTGTCGAGGTGTCCCAGACCGATCAATCTTATGTTGAGTTCGGAAAAACTTTGTGAAAGTATATATGATTGTTGTGTTTTCTATGATACTATTTTCTATTTCATATTTTCACATAAAAACCTCAAATATATTGTATTTTCTACTACTTTTTTATTAGACTCAATTTAGAAACATTTATCTTCCAATCCATCATAAACTTTAACTATTTATAGATGTATAACATTTCATTTTTGAAAACCCAATTTTTCTTTAATCTAAGCTTCCATAAAATGCCTTGGTCTAGCATGCTCTCCTCAAATCTAAAGAAAAAAAACAAACATCAAAAATCCTTTAATGCCGCTTCCTTTTTCTGGTAATGAAATGTTGCACTTATTTTTAGGCATACCATTTTTATCTTCAGTCTCTACTCAACCCACACACGAGCCCATTGTATTTTTAACTCTGCCTTATTGTTATTTCTTCTTTTTTTGGAACTTGTCCAAAAATAAACTTTGAAAGCTGTTGACGGTCTTAATGAGGAAATGAGGGATTTGCTTTGATTCACCACGGTTTTTGATGCTATTTCTGATTTGACAGCAAAGGATAAAGTGGATTTCGTTGATTGCAAGAAAGTGTTGACACTTTAATGTAATTGTTTAAGCTTGGTAGAAAATTACATTAGTGGTTACAAATGCCACGACATAATAACTTAATAAAGGCTTTCTTAAGTTTACTTATCTTATCCCACATGTGACGCAATACATTCTAATCGAGAGAAGTAAGTAAAATGTACTTACTGTTTGTGTTCAATTAATGGTGGGTTTCTCTGACAGGCATTTAGTTTGTGGTAAATTATCATTAATCTGAAATGTATAGAAAGAAACTTAATTTAATGCTGAAGCAACAGAACATGGTATTAACAAATTCATTTAAGGTAACAAGTGAGGTATTCACTTTAAGTGCCTTACTCAACTTTACATATTTTACTTTCTAAAGATATTCAAACACTTTAATCTCAAAATAAAGCAGATACCAAGAGATTTCTGGCTTCACCCTTTAGGATTGCCCCACTTTCCAACTGCTCATATTTCGGCTCTGCAATATTAATTTCATATCTCGATTTGTACGAGCCAAATTACCCTACTTTTCCTCCTCCTCTCCACGGAAAGTGTGAGAATGGCCTACACAGTTTCCGTCTTTGTCTTGGGCTGTTAAATAAGTTGGCAACTTTTCATTTCACTGCAGCATTGTCTCGAGTGCTGAGTTATATCGCCGGGGCCCAAGAGCTTTTCCACTGCCAGCACCCACGGCAGCATCTTTTTCTCAGGGAACAGAAATAGAGACTGAAAGAATGGGTCCTTCCAACCAGGACACGTTCCTCAAGTTAGCCGCGTTCACTTTCCTCCAACCAACACCCCCACACTTTGCCATTGTGTTCACTTAACAAAAGCGCATTGTTCTAGTCTGGCTTCCTTCGATTTCCTTGACTTTTATGCACTTGCTGCAAGTTATTTATGTCCTGCCAGTGGCATTGAAATCGCGAAGCGTCGAAGCCAGCCCACAACTGCAGTTAGGGGCTTATTAAAGTGGCACACTTCGGCAAGATTTTCTAACAAACAAACTATTTCGTTTTCCAGAGTTCGCGGAATGCCTGACAATGACCGAGATCAAAATTCCCAAGCACATTATGCGCCACGAGGATGCCGTTCTCGGCTGCAAGTTCGATCTGGACGGAGAGTCGTGTACTCGGTGAAGTGGTATAAGGATGGGTTCGAGTTCTATCGCTATGTGCCCAGGGATATGCCACCCGGACAGGTCTTTCCATTACCCGGAGTCGATGTTGAGGTAAGAAAATGATTTAAAGTATAACAAAAAAGCAAATTAAACTAAATAATTGTTACAAGGATAAGATTCATATTTTAAACTAGATATTTAGTTATTGTTACCGGATAATTTTAAGCCGTTTCCTCCTCTTCACCATCAATAAATGTTTGAAATAATTTGAGACCCTTTGAATATTTAAACAAATTTGAATAACAAGTACACATTGACAAAGTTGAAAAGTTATCGAGAACTAGTTTTGTTTGTCGTAAAAATTCAAATTCTTGGAAATTACATTTTGGCTGAAATTATGAGCAACCGAAAATCCAAATTGCTGCAATCTCTGGAGGATTCTATGCAGCCCCTCGATGACGATGATGTCATCCGCCTGATTGCCCACCAAATCCGCCAACCCGTAAGCGATCCCATCGACTTGAGTCGGGGAAAGAATGCGGATCTGAGTATTCTGCATCTGGAAGATGCTATGAAATTCAGGGAGTCTATGGAGAACTTTAATATATCGCCCACCGCGGAAAGCATCGATGAGGTGATGCCCGTTAAGGATCAGCATCTTGGTGAAATGCTGGATGTACTCAACGACTTTGTACCAGAACACTATGATGACGATGACGATGAAGTTGAAGAGGAGGATGATGACGATTATTCCGATGAATATGAAGAGGAAGAGGAGGATGACGTTATGAGGGATCGCTTTAAATCTTTTCGATTCAATTAAACCATTATTTTAAATATAGAGCTAAATATATTAAAACAAGAAAGGAAACTAACTTTGGGAAGGCGAAGATTATATACCATTGCAGTTTGCAATTGAATTTTAGGATCGTATCGAAAATTTGTCATAACTATGCTTAAAAGAATCGCATTCCTTGAATCTATATTTATAGAAATTTTACATGGCAATTTTATCGAAAAATCATAGTTTATAAATTATATATAATAATTATGATATCCTAAAATAGTATAATAATGTAGCAAAATTGTCAAAGTCAGGTTTAGTTTTATAACTATAGAGGGAAAACTAGTCGGGGAAAGAAAGAATTAAAATTCGTGAATAATTTATTGTTAAATCTGCTCTGTTTACATTAAGAATTTTAAAAAATCTTTTACAATTAATTAATATGGATTCATGGCAATTAGGGAATTAGATGGAAAATAAATGCATAGCTACCTATTCCTGGTGACTTCCATTAGGCTTTTCGTCGTATCATCTTGTTTATCCAGATGTATTGCATTGGCCGTCATATTTTTCGGGTCGCAGAGCAATCACTATCACTATCAGATCACTTTCACTATCACTCACGATGTTAACAGGTGGAAGGCCACGGCCAGACTGAGATCAGCCCGACAGCAGCGGCTGTATTTATAGTCACCGAGCAGAGAGTAGAGAAAGTGAGAGCGCGGGAGAAAGAGGCACCTCCAGAGATAGGCAGCCAGTGTAAGTGGGAGTAAGGGAGGGAGAGTAATGGAGAGCTACAGAGTGTTAGACCCATAAAATAGATATAGGCAAAGAGAGAGAGCAACCGACCTGGGTGTTGATGCTCACTAAAAGTATATATAGTTTATAGGATCGGAAATGACTGCTGAGCTGTGTTGCAAGCTCCTGACTAAAATTTTTATAATATACTACTATTATAATTCAATAATAATATGATGAATTCCGTAACTTTACTGTATATCTTAATTATAGCACAATTTATTAATTTATTATTTATTTATTTTATATTTTAGGAGTACCTATTAGTTTTATAATTAATTTATGCTACAATTCAAAGTAAAATGGGAAACTTTATTATAGCAATTAAACAACAGTCCAAAAAACAAAATATTACGTATACCCACTGATGTAAATATTATTTTATCATAAGCCAAAAATGCATTAATATCAATTTGGAAAACTGTTCTGTGTTAGTTTTTATTAGGTTAACAAATCTACATACTGAGTTTTTCGAATTTTTAAAAATTAAATTTGTTAATTTGTGAATTTTTTTTTTTGATTAACGATGTAACCCTTTTCTTTTGAAAAAAAATTAACAAATTTCGAACAATTTTTATTGTACCGGACATGGTTATTGATTCGGTATTCATGCTGATCAATAATATATATGATTTATATGGTCAGAAATGATTCCTTCACTGAATAAAATAAATAAAACTCTTTGCAAGTAAATAAGAATATAAACTTTATAAATATGGGGCCCAAAGGAGGACTCCCTGTCTTAGCTGCCTTTCACTTTTTGTACCAATTTTACTAACTTCTTTTTTCGTCCTTCCTTGTGTTTTTTATTCCAGTTGCAAAACTCGACGGACGTCGTTGTTGTCCTGCGCTCAGTTAGCCTTCAGTCAACTGGCCGATATCGCTGCGAAGTGTCCGGCGAGGCGCCTTCGTTTCAGACAGTTTCCGGTCACGAGGACATGATTGTTGTGGGTAAGTGAAAGTGGGCAACGAAAAAAGGCGGCCATACTGAAGTCCTTTCATGGGAAAAAGCAAGAAAGAAAGACAGAGAAAGAGAGGGAGATATACAGAGAGAAAGAGGGAACGAGCTGGGCCAAAGAAAAGCGGCAAGATTAATTGCACCGAGCGGACTAAGCGACGAAAAGTAATCTGTCTGTGTGGCTCCATCTCTCCCTCTCTCATTCCCTCTCTCTTTCTCTCTCTCCCTCTGTCTCTCTCTCTTTCTGGCACAGAACGTATATGGGATAAAATATTTCACATTTATTTAGTTTATGCCCGGCATTGTTTCTCGCTGCGATTTACAAATTCTCGGGCACAAAACCTGTGCCAAAAAAGCCAGCGGGCGGGGATAGAGAAAGACAGCAGATACCGGGTGTGACAGAGATAGAGAGAGGCGGCCATCCTTTTTCAGGATGTTTTCCGGTGTATGTGTGTCTGTGTGTGTGTGCCTGTTCTTTGTATTGTATTCCTCTGGCAAATTGCCCATGTACGTGATGCAATTCTGTTGCTCACTTACAGCTTCGGTCCTCTCCTCTCTCTCGCTCGCACGCCATCTGCCTTCTCGCTCCTACCCTGTTGTGCAACTTAATTTGAAATTTTTGCGCAATCCAACAAAAATATGACCAAACGCAATATGAAAAACGGTTGCGGAGAAAACTTAGAATAAACGTGTTTAATAACAGGGGAAAAGCGGATAGAAAGCTTCACAGGGAAAGTGATAAATTCTCGATTAAGATAAGCCAGAAATCTTGATAGAGTTTTAAAGAATTCATAATATTTTAGACAAGGACCTTGACAATAGTTTTAGTATAAAAATATTTGATTAAAAGAAGTCTTTAAGGCACTTTGACTTGGAAAAGTATAAAGAGTTAAAGTCACGAGTGAAGAGTTAGTAAGTCTACTTCAACATTTAGGCTTTAAAACATTAACTCTTATCGTTTCTCAAAGGTAGGCATCAGTACATTGAGATATATTTTAGCTTTCATTTTCAAATAGGCAATAATATTTATGGATACCTAACAATATTACTCTACAATCTCTTTAACCATAAGCTAATGTAAACAAAATGAGGTCCTGTTAAGTATGAAATATATAGAATATTGACACAACTCTGACCCAAATATTCAATTGCGTAAACCTCGTGACGATGTTGATGATGTTTATCAACGGTCGATGGGACAACTGTTTGAGGCAGGCAAATTTCACCTTCATTTCCGCCAGCCGGATTGTCGAGAGGGTTCAGAAGTGCGGCAATCAAAATCGGTATATCGCATAATTAGGCTAACTAAATATTTCCTCGACCAGAAGAGAGAGAGAGAGAGTGAGAAAGAGGGGCCAGAGGCAACCAATCAGTGCTGCCCCAACAGACGCTTCCGTTTTTCCAGTTGGAAATTACTCAATTACACTCAGACTTTAATGGCGAAAAATCGGAAGCGGGAAAAGTCAGAGCAGAGGCAGAGAAGGCAAAAGGTTGGAAAGCCGTTCTCTTCAACTAAACCAGCCGCCAGGTTCAGATGTAAGCGGATTAAATCAAGGCATAATGACTGCGACGATTTGCGGATCAATAAACTTAATGAATTTTCTGTGAAGGAAAAAGTGTGGAAAAATCCCGTTAAGAGTCGTCAGGCAGTCCTCAATGAAGAAAACAAATAATAAGGCAATCGGAAAAGCTGGGCAGAAAAGAGATAAATAAAGGGATATGCCAAAGGTATTTAAGTTGCTTCCCAAAAAAATCTCATTTAAATTACGGAAATATTTAACTAAATGCGTTCTGAGAAGGACTGAAATCGAATGCCAGCTTTTGAGCCCGCCCTTTCGAAATAATTGAATGCAATTACAAGGGGCAAAGCCGAGTGATGAGCCGTCACGATGGGTCCAAATATATGTTTGACCCAGTTCCCTAGATTAGACAGCCTCAACCGGGCGACAAAAGCGATAATTGCAGTGTATGCGCGGAAATTGAAAATGGGGCAAAAGGGGGGTGGAAATGCGATGGAAATGAACGGAAAATGGAGGCGCCACGATGCAGTTGCATATGATGGGGTCATCCGGTGAGGGAAATTGCTTCAACGTAATCTCTGCGAGAAATGCGTGGTGGAGTTGCAGATGTGGAAAAAACGCTAAAATGTTGAAAGGGTTAACTATAAGGGAAGAGGACTTATCCGAACTACAAATTTTATTTGTTAAAATAAGTAATTAAAATAGTTTGTATTTTTTTTAAGGAAGAGTATAAAGCTAAAGAATATCCTTCTGTATAGTATATTTTATTTTGTTTTATAATATGAATATATTTTGACAAATTCCCATCGATTAGAAGAACCTTTCCCAATAGAAAAGACTTAAGGGTTGGCTTAACTCCAACCCGTGAAGAATCATGGCCAAACTTTGGCAACTCGTTTCTTTTCAATCAATTGCGTCCTTTGACCCTTTTGTGTATGTAATTCTGACTGTGTTTGGCCCGAAGGCTATTAAGGTGAAAAATTGTTAGTTTATTTAGGCATCCGGATTACTTAGATATTTGTTTCAGTTTGGTCAATTGAATCCATTGTTCGGCCGGGTATACAACAAAAGAGGAGGATCCGTGGGTCCGGGCCACGCAAAAAGCAAAACTGGATCCATGTTGATCCCTTGTCCTTGTCCAAAAAGCCCTCGGAGGCAAACAAAGCCGGACAATGGCGGCGGAGGAATAAAAATGCCCAGCAATTATTACCAATTGATACTGGAGCCGAACCCACTAACAACAACAGGGTTTGATGTTGGCGCAAACAACAAGGGGAAAATGTTGAACATTTTGCCAAAAAAATATATATTAAAGGGACCAAAGGGAGAGCCACAAAATATCAACAGCTTAATCAATGTCAGAGGACAGCGTAAAAATAGTCGCTGAAAATAATAATTTATGCAGTTCAGTTCAGTTAAGCCGAACAATAAGAAGGATTGCGAAAAAGAAAGGTGAAAGTATAACAGGAAGGAACAAAAGGAGAATAACTTGAAGAAAAGGACGAAAAGGGGGAATTTCTTGTGACCTTATTTTTGGACACTCCGATAAATAACGTCACCTGCAAATGAGTGTGCATATTTCGTTTTAGCAGAAAGTTTAAGGAAATATATATTACTAGAAAACTATACCAATTGGAATTATTAAAATGTTACAATGTTTGTTAAAGCCCTGTGAAAACTATTATATATAAATCAAAAATCTAACACCTTTTTTCGCTATGTATATATTTTATATTAATTCCTTTTCCTTTCATCTCCAGTTGAATTTTTCAAAGTCCTGGCACAATTATTGCCATGCGCATGAAAAAGCATGGACGAAATATTCTTTTGTGCGATAAACGTTGAAGTTTCCTTTCATTTTTCGCAAACTTTTCATCAGTGAGAAACTATCGATTATGCTTAATTGAAGTTTCGCTTTAGTTTAGTTTCGATTTTCACAGTTGTTGACCCAATTGGCAATTGGCCAGGTCAGCCAGCAGACATGGCTCTCGTCCTTTTCCCCCCCTGCCCCCTCGCACTATCAACATCATCATGTCCAGCAGCTGGAATTCCCCCACATACACACACTGACCCACAAAAAAAAAACAAAATAGAAGAGCAAGCAACTAAAAAGAGAAACAAATCAAACGTTACAACGTGCAAAAATTGCGCATCAAGGATAGGAGCTTTGAACATTTCCGTATATTTATTATGCTTTATTTTAGTTTGCTTTAAATAAATTTACATTGTTCCCTGCGATGCGAATTGGGAGCGATTTAATTGTTCCACTGATGGCTCGCAAAAATTGCCAGGAATGGAATAGAATTTGGTTGGAAACTAAAAACCAAATCAACCATCAATCATTGTTTGGCCGAATAGAACTTTATATCACTGCGGGAGGGCTATAATCAAATGTCAAAAACCTTTGTTTATTTTGTGGTTTTGTTTAGCAAGAAAATAATATGAAAGGATATGTTAATATAGTTTAAGCCACATTGACTATTAGGACAGTGAGTAATTATTAAATCTTTAAATGATTTCACACTAAAGAATTGCTATAAAAAGAGTAATTATTATTCTGACTATAGCTCACTTTTAATTCGTTTTAAGTAATCTATGTATAATGACCCTGTTATGTTACAAAACAGTTTTAACAGCTCATTCCAGCATTCCATGGTTATCCTTTTAATCCCCAACTGTAATTTTCTATGGACTTTCAGTGACTCCAAAGCATGGACCACAAATCACGGGCGGACAGCCTCGCTATCAAATTGGCGACATGGTGCGCGTCAATTGCACCTCGGCGGCCTCTAAGCCCGTCTGCCATCTCAGTTGGCTGATTAACGGGATGCATGCGAATCGATCCTTGCTACGACCCTACGAGCCCCTCATTGTGGGACGAGAGGGACTGGAGGTTGCCCGGCTAGGACTCGAGTTCCGGGTGCGAGGATGACATTTCAAGCACGGCGACATGAAGCTAAAGGTGAGCTAATTGAACCTAAGCACTGGGTCAGAGAACTAAAGCATCACTGGAACACTAATTCTTGTTAATAAATAATAAACTAAGAGAAACATATAACAAAAACCGAGATAGATTCCCTTGATATCAACATTTAAAAACCCCTTTTTTTAAATACATTATCTCAAAATTACATATTTATAACGCAAGAGCTATACTTTCCCAAAAGAGATCCTCTTCAAGAGGAAATCCTATCATCGTATCCTAACGATATAAACTGATTATGGTAGTTGGACAGGCCATGAAAATTGATACATTCATACATTCGGGAGATTGCCATTCCAATACATATATGCCATCGCGCTGTTGCTCTGATTCAATTTGCGACAACATAACATGGCAGCTCATGTTGATTATTATCCATTCGGACCCAGTTGTCCAGCCACTCAACCCCCTGGACACTGGACCGAGGGGTAGCCGCCACCCCCAACCACTGCGAGTGCAAATATATGTTGAACAAGCCACAAAATTTCATGCGAACGCGGGCGGCAGGCCAAGTGTCCTTACGACATGAACAGTGGCGGTAATAATATAACAAAATTAATATTTCAAACTTAGTTTTCAAGAAAAATTTAAAGAAAAACTATAACAAAAGCCTAGCTTATCAGTAAATTTAATTTGATATCAATTTCTATAATAAACTTTTCATATTTCCAATAACTTGGGTACCACTGTCCACTGACCATTGACTAACCGTGTGTGGGTCACTATACGTTTGCATATGTGTCAGTGGCGGTGTATGTGTGCACACCATGTGTATGTGCTTGTGTAAGTCCTGCGGAGATGTATGCGGGTCATTTTCGGGTTACTCGTTACTTGTGCCGTGCGGGAGGAGTTAATGAAAGCATAAAACTTTTACTGCGCCGTCAAGAGAATGGCCAATCCGCTGCAGTCCCAACCCCCCATTTTCCATTTCCCAGCACACACACACACATTTATCAATGTACACAGATTTGATGAAAGTTTTCCCTGTAATCCAACTGCAGTGTGTCGCCAAAATCTCCTCCGTGTACTGGCAGAGCAACGAGGAGAGTGTGGAGAGCGACAAGCACCAAAGGATCCCGGTTCTAGAGTCGCGGGAAACGGTCATGTCCAAGTCCCGCCAGTCCCTGGACAAGGTGCAGTCATCGCTAGAAGGTGAGTGATCATCAATCATCTGGCGGTTAGTTAGCCAACAACAGAAGGACACTCGAAGAAACTTTGTTTAAGAATATTAATTGCAAATTTTATGAGTAGGGCAAATATACTTCCTTTTTAACTTTGAAAAGGCTTAGCCTTAGATTGAAATAAACCATTCTGTAGATTTACATTTAAAGTATTTTATAGTCCTTGAAATGTATGATTAAAATCCTTCAAGTATCCCTCATTAATGTGAATTTTTCCGAGTGCATCAGCAACAGTTGTGCCCACAAAAGTTTTGGCCACCGCTTGGCAATCCATCCAGCCTCCGGATCCCAGCTCACTGCCCTCCATTACTCATCCAATCTTTCTCTCCTGCTCTCTCTAACCACAAACTAGATAAACAACTGAAGAAGAGCCGACGCCCCGCAGCGGCAACTTCAGCGGCAGCAGCAGCCGCAGCAGCAGCGGCAGCGGCAGGAGCGGCAACATCCTCCAGTGCATCCACATTTGGGTGGAGCTCATCGGTGCCCTGGTCACGCATATTAGCTTCCAAATCAATTGCACGCATTTCCCTCTACGCGCTGCCAGTCTTAATAGCGTTTCTGTGTAGCTCATCACCCGTCGTGGGGAGTTGCTGTCAGAGGAGCAGCATCAGCAGCAGGAGCACCAGGATCAGGGGCAACAGCAACACCGAGGGTATCAGGCACACAAGCAACACAAACAGGAGCCGCCTGTCGAACCAATTAAGTGGCAAGGATGCTGCTCAGCGGAGATAACAATTAACCGAGAGGTTTGGCGTCAAAAGGCCCGGCAACTTGGCCTAAAAATCATCATCATCAGTTTCGGTCTGTGTGTGTATATATTTGAAAATTCTAGATACATATTTTTTCCACATCACGTATACGCCGCGTAACCGGCTAGCTTAACTAACTGTATGTACATATCCATATTAACTGTATCAATGTATGTATGTCCATACATCAATTAGAGAAGCATTAAAATGCGGTTGTTCCTCTGTGTGGGCTTTGTGCTTGTCAGTCTTTAGAGAAATGCTCAAAAAGGATTGGCTGAGAAGTTGCAAACCAAACAAAAAAAGTATGTAAGGAAATCTTAATAGTAAGTGTATTGTATAATGATTCCAAATAAGCCTGAAAGAGTGGCGTGCAAAACTGTATAAATTTATAAACTCAAGTAAGTAGCCAAAGATGTAACATTTAAGATTTTTGAATAAGCCAGAATTTAGACCTATTTAATATAAAGAATACAAATTATAATCGTTAAATTTTGAAAACTTGTATCGAGATAAGAGAAATGTTTTAAATAGGAAAATTAATTTAAGGAATTCTTATCCAATAAACTAGCCAAGATAAAATTGAATAAGGAATAAAATTGATTTTGCAGTTAACCTTTCTTCCCCTTTTTTTAAGACTTTACAATTATTTTTTTAATATAAATAAAAGCCCATGATATTTAATTTAATATAATTTAATTGTACTGAAATAAGTTTAATATAATTTCTTTTATATTTTTCATATCAAATTAAAGTCATATAAATAATTTTTAAATCGTGTTAATATATCCCACGTTTTTAAACAACTTTTTTATTGAAAGACTTTTCATATTTAAAACCCACAAAATCTATGTTTTTCTGCACTTAAACGTATGAAGCACAGCTTAAGGCATATCTCTGCTAAGAATATCTTTGTCTCTCTTCTTGTACGATGAACAAATTGTTAAATGTTAACTAGACTAAGGCCCATAACTAGAGAAATGAATATCCAACCTTAGAAAAGTTAAGCCAAGAAAAATAAAATAATAAACTGTGTAGCAATGTAAAATATATGCAGATAATGAATGTTATTAAGTCTTTAAAAAATAAAGAATGCAAAAACAAAGAAAATGAGCGCACCTGATTGTTGCTGGCAAAGTGCCAAAGAAGCTACTGGCAGGACATTTTCAGGGTTTTCTCACTTATTTAATACCCAGTAAAAGGACTGTGACAGGGGGTATCAAAATGAAGAGGTGAGTACTTAAGGTTTAGGTATAAATCATAGTTTGCCTTGATTTTATAAAATTATATTTAATAAAATATTTATTCAAGTTACTGAGTATTATATATTTATGGACATTCCTGGATGAATTTTTTCGCTGAATTTTTGCCCAGCAGTCCTCTTGTCATCGCAAGCCTTTGTAAGCGCTCTTGACCTGGAACAGGGAACCCAAAACCGAGGACGACGAGCGTTGAACAGACGCTGCCCGAGATTCGTGCCAGCAATTGTCCTTGCCAGGCATTCTTTTCGCTGTTATACTCTTCTTTTTTTATTGTTGCCGGCAGTGTCATAATATCTCGCCTTGGCGCTGCGATGGCATTCATGTCGTTGCTTCATTTTATTGTTATTATATTTACTTGTCGGATTTGCTGTGTGTGCTCCGGACCACCCAATCCCATAGATTTTTGTTCATATTTTTTGATGGAGGGTGGGAGGTCCTGGACCTCGACTTGGCGATGCGTGTGCCATGCACTTAAACATTTGATTACGTGTCATATATCAACACATTGTACGATTGAATTTTCGCTACGCATGCGGTGGGCCAAAGAAAGCAAAGAAACCTATGGCTTCTGCCACTTTTCAAGTCGTGATTGGGTGCTATAAAGAGCCTGATTCCAGGACCTGCCTGAGTACATGCAGTTAAAAGCGCTGGGAGAACATTCGTATCGCTAACCATAAATGTGAGCAGCGCTCATATTGTGTTCTTGCTTATCCAGACTGCCTTCTTTATGGCGGGTTAATGACTTGGGAATACTCCCGGGCCAAACTCAACGAATGAGGAATGTTTATTTTGATAAGTTCCAAGGATCCACAGCTATTTATGAGCACAAATTAGTCGTAGAAACTTGGAATATTTATCGCTAGAAATGGATATTTAATGCCTGACTTTGGTAAGTATAAAAATTATATTTTCTATAACACAGTTAATAGTTTTATATAATAACTTATAGAAATGGATCGATTATAAGCATAGTTCCTTAATATAATTTGTATTATTTTTTCTTAACGATAACCTTGAAGAGCAAACTAATTTCTTTAAATCCATTGATGTTTATAACCAAAGGACCTTCATGGGTAACAATTTCGGCACCCTTTAAAGCTTTTCCAGCAATTAAAAGTCAGTGAAAAAAGGTTCCATTGGGGCTACAAAGTTACTGGGATCTCGTGAACTTTTTGCTCCCTCATCTCTCATCTCCTCCTTTTTTTTTTGCTTTTCTGAGCTGAGCCCATTTTGCTCTTTGGCCATGCTTATTTGCTTAATTTCACAGCGCTCGCTTCGCATGCACAAAAGGCTCTGGAAAAAGGACAGGGCCAAGGGAGGAAAACAAGGAGCGCGATATATATATATATGTATGTATACAGTATACAGTGACATTCAGTTGGAGGCCTTCCAGGGACTCTGTGTGTGTGTGTGTGTGTTGTTGCCTTTTATATTTATCACAGCCACTTGCATTGCATTTTGTTTATATGCTTTTAATGCAATTAGCACGCTTTTCACTTTGATTTACGCGCGGACGGAGACTCAGAATCCGGATCGTAGGGCGAGCAGAACAGAAGGAGTGAGTACTTGACAAAAGGGACAAAGTGACTGAATGCCAGAGTGAGTGACGGAGACAAACAGATAACAGACAGACAGACACACTCACACATATGTGAGATGAGTGCATTTCCCCTCTCAATTCCACGCTTTTCCCCAACCCGACTTTTCCCATTTTATGAGTGGGCCCGCTTCCATCCTTTGTGCTGCCCATTTTAGCATTTGTTGTGCAGTTGCATTCCCAATGCGCTAACTCCCTTTCAGTCATTATGCATTCTCGTAATTATTCTGCTTTTGCTATTTATTCTGGCACTCGGTGCTTCTACCATTTAATATTGCTCTAGTATTCTGACAATTTAAAGCTTGCATTAAATAGATTATTTGAGGAAAAATATATTATAATTAATTGCATTGTTTGCTTAAAGAGAATTAATTGCAAGAAAATACGAACAAGAGAATTCCTTAAAACTATTATATAATTTAAAACTTAAAGTAAACTAAATTTTATATATCCTGCATTTTGCAATTAAATTATGTTATTGAATGGAAATCAATCATAACTAAATTTAAAATATTTGCTTTCTTTGAATCGTTATTGCTGGAGGTTTTCTATGACTTTTTTTCGACAAATTAAAGTTTAAAACGTTCATAAATAAGCCAAAAATTCATTAATTTCAATTCGGAAAGCTTAGTTTACAAATTTAAAAAAATCTAAAATTGGTCAATTTAAAAAATTTTATTGTGTAATTTACCCTCATAAAATGATGAAAAAAAAATTGAAAACAAAAATTTCTTTCTGATATGGCTAGGTCGATTCTGCTTTTGATTTTGATCAAGAATATATATGATTTATACGGTCAGAAATGATTTCTTCACTGAGTTTAAAGCTTGTGACTGAAATTATAATACCCTGTAGAAAGAAATAATATGTTCTTAACTTCCGCTCCACAATTCATTCCATACTTTTCAAGAATCTAGAGGTCCCAAATAAGTAGGCAACAAATAATTTACAGCTTCAGAAATGAATTTTTAGAGGATTTGTCTCATCAATTACCTTAAGGATAATCGCAAATCGCTTTTCGTAATAAAGGGCTTCCCTTTTCCTATGAAATGGATACTGACTTGTCGCACATTATCCATTTGCTGGCATCATAACTCCCGGATCTGTTTTGTGCTTCGCCTCGACTGCATCTGCTTATGCATTTTCATTAGCGTCTCGTCTGTGTCAACGTCACTGCCATCACAGACATTGGAGTGCTTTGACCCCCTCGCATTTTCCACAACCACCATCCTCTCTCTCTCCTCTCCTTCCAAAAGGACTCGACGCTTTTGTGCTTCTTCATCTTGTTCAGCTCTAATGCATATTGTTTGTGTCCTCGAGCGTAATTTGCTGCCTCGTTTGTTTGCTTTTGCTGTTGCTTTTGCTTTTGCTGTTTCTGCTTCTGTTTCTGTTCTTGCGCCGCTGTTGGGCACCATTTTAATTACGATTTGCTGACTTACATTTCATTCGGCTGCTAATACATGGCCCGCAGCTTCCTTCGATTGACTGATTGAGTGACTCGCTGACTGACTGCCTGCTGATTACACTTCAATCAGCCGGAGCGCGTAAATATCAATCAGGGCCTCCGGTGTGGAAGGGTTGAAAGGGTTAAGACGGCAAGACGGGTTAAGAGAGATGCCGATGGCAAAACTCATTTAAAACTAATCAACAAGTAGCGTGAAAATTGAAACAAGACAAGAGTCAATGAACTAAAGATTTCTACTGGAAGTTTAAGGTTAAAAACATGAATATTTATTCCTGTACTTGAAAACCATAGTTAAATACCCAATTTGATTGATTCCTAAATGCAGGAGAGATGCATTTTGAGCTTGAAAATCAAAGTATTATCACCTTAGCTGTAATTTAAAGTCCCTTCAAAATCTCTCAGCCATTCGTAATTCCTCCCACAGCATTTCTGGGCTCAGCTTAAGCGCTTAACAACTTGTCCGTGAGCCCATAAGATCCCTGAACAATCAGTGTGCACCCAGGATTCAGGCAACACTCGGCTCTATTATCCTTTATCGTCTCGAGTCCTGGACCATCCATAGATAATTCCAATTGAATGCAATGGCAGCTGGTAGAGGGCAGGACATGCAACACAATTACATGGAGATGCTTGCAGAAAGGCCAACTTAGTTTGCCACTTGGTAGTCCGGCTTTTTGTTAATTTTTTAATACCCCCAATCCGTTCTCCTTTTGGCCAGAGAGCTTCTCCTTGGATTGGATTGCCTC